ACCGGCCTAATATCGTACTGAATGAAAATACAAAGAACGTTCAATATATCAAGATAACTGCCGGTAAGCATGCCGGTTGTACAAGAACCTTTAATTGAACTTTTGGAAATGTGAAAAAATTGAACTTTGGAAAAGCTTAGAATTCTGAGCGTATGTGGAAGTCTATCGGTATTATTGGCTGTTGAGCAAAAACCATAGACACTAAGACTAAAAATGTACTTCCGTTATCTAAGCACAACATTAGAACGGAAGTGGATATCATGGTACAAACGTTATAAGCATTTAAAGGTAATGAAAAGATCGACGAATTTCGATGTTTGTCACTGCAAAACCCTTCCGGATAAATTTCTGCAAAAAACCTCTAAGGATGTTGAATTAAAGACAAAACAACGGATGTTAAAATTTACGCTATTAAAATTAAGAAATTTTTAAAGAAAATGAGCATTGAAATTTTTCGAGCCTTTGGACACCGGGGCACTAAGTAACGACTATTGCTTCTTATAAAAAGGTCAGTGCACTCCCTCTTTCTCCCTATTGTAAAAATAATATTTCTTTGACAGACAGTAGTTCTTAACATGGCAAACCTAAGGTGTTTTGAAACTAAAAAAATTATGTTTTCTCTCAGTTTATTTGCAGTTCACAAAATGGATTAGTATAGAATTTGAGCAGGTTACACAGCGCTCCTTTTAAACCCTGTTAATTTTGTTGGTGAGACAGTTCACAAAGCATCCAAAAAGATTGGAATTGCCTACGAAATGCCCTCTTTATCAATTGTAATGACACGATTAAGCAAACCTGTCAGGTAAATAAAAATATTGCTTGTTTCATCTGATAAAAGTCTCTTTGATCGAGGAACTGTGTCTTCTAATCGTCCTAGGACATGAAGAAGGAAAGAACATCTTCTTGAGAAAAATGTACCAAATTATACCAATTCTAACCAAATGTTTGAATAATACATATATTTGAAAAGCCATACAAACATAAAGGAAGAGGTAAACCAAATTTCAAGTTGTTTTTTATAGTCAATGTGGACTTCCTCTTCGCAGTTTTGACGGCAAACGGTAAAGGGTTGAAGGTAAATGGTAAACGGTTAAGGAAACCGAAATATGCTGCATATTGTTTCCAAATATTTTTTGCACCATTCTTATTAAGTTGTATGCCAAGAAATATTGCCAGAAATGAGATTTTTTCGGTTATGGTTGCAGATTTTCACAGACAAGGCGTAGAAAACATGAAAACGCACATTAAAAATAACAACTTTCACAGGAAAGAGCGAACAAATACACAATCCCGAAAATCAGCATCTACTAGTTATCGACGTTAGTCAAGTTTTCAGTTCTAAACAGAACCGGGACGGGTGGAAATAGTCTACAAAGATGGAAAACATTTTTTAATATACGTTTGCGATGTATTTTTAATCACATTTTTCACAATGTCAGTGGGTGGGTTTCCAGGACATTAAAAAAATACACAAAAAACAGAATACAGACCTGTTAGAATTCTTATGAAGTTCTCAACAGTGACCTGAAAAGGAGCAAGTTAAAAATCTCAACATGAAAATTACATGCGAGCAATGTTACTTTAGTACAGAAGTCGCCTTTGAAGATATGATTTCTTCAATCATACGTCCTTGACTGATATTTTTGTAAAGTTGTATTTCTCTCTCGAGTCTCAGGGCAAAGACAATTAAGACACGTTTGATGACGTTATGCGTTTATAAATTTGCACTTTAACAATTATCATTCCCTTTCAAGTGTCTGTAACCATCCATAACCTTTAAAATTTTGGGTATGGTATTGCAAATGAATTTAATATACAGCTATAACTTTGTAAACAAATATAATTCAATTTATCAGGGTACCTCATATCCTCTATAATCCACTTCAATATCATCCCCGTAAACATTGATATGTTGATTTCTATTATTGAACACAGTTGCTACAAAGGAATACATGAAATTAAAACGGTTTCTACTGAACAGATAGACTATCCTGTTTTCTATATATATATCAGATCTTCAAGCCCTTTAAAATCCAACAACGATACAAGATGAAGTAACGATTGACATAAACCTTGAATATTTCGCATTTAAAAATCCGCAATAAAAGCAAAATGATAACTATGACGATGTTAGCATACTATATTACCACCTCATTTTTCATACGGCAGAACGAAATGTGAATTTGTTTGCACCATCCGTTAGCTCTTTCTTAAAGTCATATTTTCTGCAACTTTCTGTTTTCCTACTTGTAAAGTGATCCCTCCCTTCACCCTTACCCTCTATTCTCCTTTATTCTCTAGTATTCTCCTTTCCATCCCAATGATATTTCAAACATCGCATGCTCTAACTGAGTTTCCAAAGCCTTCATACATCACTAACTTTATTCAATGTCATTGGTAGTTTATCATAAATTTGTTATCTTCTCCTATAATTTGTAATCGATCCGCCATCTTCAGGTATGAAAGCAATTGAGCATGAGCCTTAATCTCCTCAATCTTATTTTTTCATTCAATTTATGTTCTTTTATCATCAGTCCATAGAGATCCCCCAATCAGTTCAAAGGTGTTTATCAAAAGCTGGCTATGTGGCTACTATGTAAAAAAAAGACAATACCAGGCCTTGGATTCCGGGGGCTGCATGCAGCATCATCAGCTAGCATCAAAATTATGTGGCTAAAATCCAAATAGAACACAAGTTTAAAAACAGATAAGGTGTATATCAGAAGGGTTTTGAACCGTCTTCATCAATCATAAAAGATACCTCAGCAACCCCTCTTAAAGCCCCCTCATCCCCCACTTCTGCGGTCCCTGCTTGCATCACAACATTTTAGAAAGAAAATCTGCAAACGACCAGCAATCAAGGAGCACATCAAAAAATTATTATCTAACCAGGAGCAATAAAGTTTGCTTTCCCTTGATATTTAATATATAAAATAACCATTTAAGATAATTCCTTCTAAAGTGATGAGTGTTTTAAAAACTTTTCATCTGCTAGCATTTGAATAACTTGAACCAAGAGCGTCTTTAAATCAGCTGTTAAAGCTCTAGATTCGGTGTTGGTTCCAGGTTTCAGGTACTAAATTTTCTACTCTCCACTAAATTCTCCACTTGCTAATTCTCCACTTGAGTCAAAGGGTCAGAAAGGGCAACTTGCTCTGCTGCTCCAAGAAGGACATCAAAACCCTATTTGCAGGAAAAGTTATCTTGTCCGATGATTGCATTAAGTGCAAAACTCTGAGTTGCAAATTAGAACTGTCCAGTTCAGCTGTACACACAAACATAAACAGCTCTACCAGCCAACAAAACAGCAATTTTTTATAAGCAGGAAATAAAAATGATACGTTTTAGAGAAAGAAAATACTGTTTGTACATTTAAAGAGGAATCTTATTCTTGGTGCAAAGATGACTGGATAGTTAGGGTTGTGGACTGCAGATCCAAGGGCATTGGGTTCAAGTCTTTTAGACCAGAGGTGAGAGGGGGAGCATTATCACCTGAGCTGGCAATTAACCAGACTAACTTTTTCTGACTCAACTTTTTGCGTAGATTACGAATCCGGATGTTGCTTTGGCGTTTAGGGGGGCGTTTTCTAGATATAGGGGGTCAAAGCCCAAAAAAAGCGATGTGACCTAATTTGACTGTATTTAATTATTGCACTTTAGGAAATGTTTAATTTTATTAAAAATTGGTTTCTTGATCAATGCTCTGTCAAATTTGGCCTTTTCTGGCATTGATGGGGGGGGGGGGCAGGCAATTACAGGGAAGGGGAATTTCACTATTACTGTATTCTTAAAGCGTTTAGTTTAAATTCGCAATGTCCTCAGGATAGTATAGTAGGGCTCCGTGAACCAATCAATTAACAGATCATCTAACCAGCCGTGATTGGCGGGTTTTTTTTGTTGATTATGCTTTGTAAAGCTAGTCTCTTTACTCTTGCTACAAAGTTTGCACGCTTGAAGTGTTTTTCGAGGCTGCTTTTACATGAGGGCAGCAGTGACCGACCAGTTACTTTGTTTTCCTTTTGAAAAGTCCACCAGAATATAGCATATCTTGCTTCATTCACTGACATCAATCGTTTCTCTCCATACAGTGTGCAAACAAACCTTTCTAAGCCGAGTAACAAATTACTACAAGTAATAATTTTTCTTGCCAAGCTCTGATAACATTTTTTGGAATTCTTCATCGCCTCCAAAAAGCGTTTCCAAAATGCAGGCTTTCCTTTCGCAAGAAGGATGAGATGTAGAAATTTCCCGAAAATGCATGCAGGCCAAGGAGCGCTTGCTTTCGCAATAAAGATAGCGCAAAAGCATTTAGACCCAGTAGTCTCCTGTATTTTCCTCTTCCGTACTACATAAAGAAATGCAAGTTTTAGCCTCGTTGGCTAAAAGGATAACAAGAATATCAACATCTCCAGAGCGCACAATGCAAACTGTCTGACTTGAGTTACCCCTTTGCTCTCAATCGTAACACAAGAATGTTTTCATGCAAAGTATATTATTCGATCGTTGAGTTGAGACTACTTATTGTGGCGCTAGAAATTCTCTGACGGATGGGCTTGACCTTCCGATAGGGGGGCTATGCAATTGGAGAGAAAGCATGGAATCCCAATTGCAAAAAGACGCACAATCATTAAGATTATGACAGGGCATGAATATAACAGACAAGAAAGAGCAGCTACTTAGAGCGTGATTAATACTCTTTTGTGGGGAACTCGCCTTTATAACAAAATATCCCTAAAAAGACAAAAGACATATGTTAAGAAAGTTCTTTGTAGGTCTTTTTCTATGATTTTTCTATATTCACAAAGCTTTAAACTTTTCTGAGTAATAAAAAAAGGCTTCATTTAATCATTAAACAGAATAGGAACCATGACACGAAAGTTAGTACCTGAGACGGCACCATGGTTGCCGCAAAAGGTGGGGGAAATTTTTGAACTTTGATGCTTCCAGTTTGCTGGAAAATTCACTCATTCAAGACATTTTTACTACTTTACAATACAGTCTTATTCCTAAAATAAATATCCGCGGGTGGAACGCTATTTGACTGTTTTAATCGATTTTCTGGTAGTCATTCTCATCATTCGCGCAACCAACGCTAAAAAATTGTAATGTGGAGTTTAGCTCCCAGTGGTTTCAGTTTGCAAATTAACGGTTGAAATATTAACGTGCCGAGGAGCGAAGAGGAACAAAGCGAAATGAAAATGAAAACAATCAAATATACCATCGACTATTATTTATTTTTTTAACTAACGCCACCACCAAGTTTGCTGAGTAAGTAACAAAAATGTCGAATCTGATGAGAACAGATTCAGAACTCTTGGGGGGGAGGGGTGTTATCCATGTGTCCCAATGTGTGTGTGGGTTATTAGATCTCAAATGTTTTTTATGTCTTTTTAATGCTATCTCTTTATCTTTTGAAATTATATCCCAGTGATTTAAAATTTTCCTTACATTGATAGTTCAACTGTCTCTTGGTATGCATCAAAATATTCGATTTTTGCAATTTTTATGATTGTGCTCCAGATAATTGAAGATAAAAATAACTTACAGAAAGTTTTTCGATTCTTTACTCCGAAGATTTTTCAAGTTCTCACCGAAATTTCACCGATTATTTTTCCAGATTAATTTTTGGCACCGGGTTTTTTGGTACTATGATTGATTTTAATGCAGTATGTAGAAGCATACACTTGGCTGTTTGGCATCTGTATCTTCAGTTGTTGCAAGGGCAAGAGGATTAGTAAGAGCTTTGTCTATATCAACGGATCCCTTTTCTTTGAACGATGTGGAACAACAAGTTTTCAAAACTTCTTATATTTCAAGAACATACGTAATTTGAAACTATTATCACTGTCTTTTCGTTTTCGTAAGATTACTACATCACCAGATAAAATAACAAAAATTACCAATTTTTAAAGTGTGATAGCAGAAAACAGTCAAATTAGGTCAAATCGCGTGTTTTTGGGCTTTGACCCCCTATATCTAGAAAACGCCCCCCTAAATGCCAAAGCAACATCCGGATTCGTAATCTACACAAAAAGTTGAGTCAGAAAAAGTTAGTCTGGTTAATTGCCAGCTCAGGTGATAATGCTCCCCCTCTCACCTCTGGTCTATTTGACATGACCAAACTTTTACCCTGAATGAGGGGAGTGGCCATCAGAAAGTGTGATCATATTGAGAGGAAGGACTAGAACACAGCTTCCCAGTGTCCTAAAAAGTACCTTCGAATTCTACGTAGAGACAAATACAAAAAAAAATTAATTCTCAGGTAAACACAAATTTGCTAGAGAGATACATACCTGTCTGGTATTCCAAGTCGCTTTATACTGCGATAAATTGATAATGTATTTGCAGCATGCCTATAATTGAACCAGAACCTAGATGTACTGACCTGGAAAAAATAAATTGATTAAATAGGTAAAAAACATTTGCAGATATAGGTGTAGACATTAATATCAAGTAGGTCACATGGCGTATTATGTTGTGCCCAATATGTCTGGTCTGGGATAGCTGCAGACTTCCCTAGAAAATTTCTCCATCAGTGTTCAAAGTGTGCAGTAGGAGAACACAAAACGCTAGTTCATACAGTCTATAAAACAGTTCATATTTCAAAGAAACCTTGGCTGTTTTTCAAAACAAAATGCCAACAAACTAAAATTCCTCTACAATGAACATGTGCACTTCAGAGCACCAAAGTTCTCTGGCATATCCATACTAGACATATTTGGGCCTAACAAATTTTGAAATATTCAAAATGGAATTTTAATATTGAAAATGGAAAATGAAATTAAATTTTGAAAAAAGAACACATTGTGATAGACCTGAAAGGCTGGTTTCCACTTGAGAAAATTTTTGAGCAAACTTGCTAGCAAATTTGTTTTCATTCAGAGGGAAGTTGTCTTCTGCTGAAAAGTTGAATTCCTATCAACTTCCACATTTCACTAGTGCATTCACTTTTGCCCAGAAAGAACAAAGACATTCCAATTGCTGACAAATTTGCTGAAGATTTCGCTCAAGTGGAAAATGGCCTGTAGGTATCATCAAATTGACATTAAGAATACAACTTCAGGGGGCATCCACAAGTGTCACAGGTTGATTCTTTCAGAGGATTAAATGATAGAAGATAAGTAAGATACTGACATATTTTGTTAACTTATGATTTGTGCAAAAAGTTAAACAACAAAAAGCTCCTACAAGCTCTACAGAGGCCACACTGCATTGGGAAAAGAATTTATCTAATATTAATTTCCTTCCTGGTGGAAAAACATTAAGAAAAGAATTCCATTAACTCAAATAAAATAGCTCCTTCAGAAATTTATTTAATAATAAACTGGTTATCCTTTCAATGCAGATCTACTTCACTTTCGAACATGCTTAGAGTTGGAGCTTGCATGACTTCATCTGCTAAAGAGCTGCAATTATAAACAACTGCTGTTATGTTTTGCTGTTATGATGCTTCAAAAGATTTTTATTGTGAAAACGGCTCCTTTCACACCTACAGTCCATCACATGATTTTTGAGCCTTATTGTTCACTCCTCCTTTAGGTATAATGTAGAATTTTATTCTATTTTACCATATACTGAAGATAACTCTAGCTAGAGTCAAAACGTCTAACTCAGAGGGCGGCTGGGAGCGGTATTAGCGTTATTAGTCTAATAGCAATTTTTTCCAGCAAAGGCTCTCATAATCTATTGGTCATATATCTTTAAAATGAAACTAGCACTGGAAATCCTTGGCAAAAACAGTTTATTTGGACAGCTAACTGTTTTCCTGCCATTTTGCAATGATATGGCGTGACATGGCCATGGTAAAGCGAGCAGAAGCGGCTACTCTTGAAACTGATTTGATCCTTTCAAAAAAGACCTCCCTCCTACGCTTGTCGCAACATTTATTGTGACGCATTCATCGGACGGCCTCAAACAAATACTACAGTCACAGCCCTGAAATTTTGCTATTAGGTTTGTGAATCCTAATAGTAACTTTCATATCCACCTTTGTTTGTGTCTCCTTGTGTGATGTAAAGTGGCCAATCATGCTGTTGTGAAAGAGCTAATATATGCGGACTTGCTATTAGCCAGGTCACATTTAATAGCAAGATTCCTTCGTTCACTCTTGCATTTCATGTGGCATATTGCATTCAAAATAAATCATATGACCGTTTCTAGTTTACGTTGGGGGTTTTAACGACATACTGACAGACAATCCTTTCTTCACAACAACAATAAACACACCAACAGCGACTTCGTTTAAATATATGAAAGATAGTGCTCTCTTATTATTTTGGTGTAGTGATATGTAGTTTATTCTCAAGCTGTTACGTTAGTTTCATCAGAAATTTAAATCTGCACTTAAATTGAATTGAAAAATATGGTGCTTTGGTTTTTTATGTTAACAATGAGCATTTATCAGAAATATTTGTCCTTATTAAGGAGTATTTCAATGTACAATACTTGCCGATAATATTTGGCTACTAAAAAAGGGCTGTTTAATAGCAACAAAAAAGAGGCAACGGCTACGGACAGAGAACCTTTTCATTGTATGCTGATGATATTCATCTGCGTGCAGCAGGCCATCGAAACCAAAGCCTACAGTCGTAAATGAAAGACTGAATGTTTAGACATGATTCAGAACTGTATATGTATTCCAATGATGTTTCAGTAGAAATTTGAAAGAAAGTCTCTGAATTTTTTTTAGAACTAAGAAACGTGCTGCAACTTTACAATCTTTTGGGATTAGTATCAAATTCAAAATTATAAGTCTGATAAGTCTGACAATTAGCCATGTTGCTCTAGAGATCAAATAACCTCAGACTGTGGCCATAGCCCCCCCCCCCCTGATTTTTTTGCTTTTCTCTTTATGACTCTGAGAAAGAGAGCGTTACAATAGAAAATGGCAAGGTGTTTTTGACTTGCGGCCAAGAAAATCAAGATGTAACGATGAGGTAGAGCATAGAAAAAAACAGCGCAATATTGAAAACAACCATTGAAGAGGGTGTGGTTGGAAGTATAAAAACAGCGGCAGCCATGCCCTGATACCACGATTTTCTCTAATAGCAGTTTAAAATCTCTCCCAGCTGCCCCTGGTCTAACTGATTTAAGCTGTCTAACTGATTTATGCCATCTTACTGATTTATGCCATCTTACTGATTTATGCCGTCTTACTGATTTATGTAGCAAATATGAAACACCACAATATGCTGGGAATATTAGTTCAGTTCAGTTTCATTATTTTAAATTCCACACATACAATACAATGCAATAAATTACAATACAATTAATATAATTAAAGAATAAAAAAGAGAGCAAATAGATAGAAAATAAATTAAACATATTGAATTGTAAGTGTGGAATTTCTTAAGGAGGAACTCTCTAAGTAGATAGACTAATGAGAAGAGAGCCCCGCTATCGGATCTATAGATAGCCCCCCTATCGAGAATAAACAACAATAAATACACGTAAATCAGTTAAGCCTAATATTACTCGACATAAAGGCCCAATTAGCCTTTACTGATTTACGTGTATTTATTGTTGTTTATTCTCGGCGTATTGCGGTGTTTCATATTTGCTACATTTTTATCGACTTTTCGCCGCATAAACTCCTTGGAGCCCGTCGAGCAGCCTGCTACAGTGACCTTTTCTTCATTCACACATTACTGATTTGTGCCGTATTACTGATTTATGCTGTCTTACTGATTTATGTTTCTGATTTTGTCGTCACAATAATGGTTTGGGTACAATCATTGGGTACATTTGTAACAATGATTTACGAAACATAAAGGTGCCTCTTTTTTCGCCGTGTTGGCTATTCTATTTATCTGAGTATTTTGTAACTTTCTTACCAAGAATTGGTAATGAAATTACAAGGAATCTTAAAAAAATCGAGATTATTTCTTTTGAGAATTGACTTTCTGGACAATCGGCAGGTCCAGGGGGTTTAAATATAGAGGAAAAGGATTCTTTTCACCAAAAATCTTGACAGTGAATCTGCGCATGAAAGGCTTTGGAGTGTATAGCAGACAACAATAATCTAAAACATTTCTTACCAGCACAGCCCAATTATTTGTGTGTCGCCTTGCTGATACAAGATTTAAAAATAAATAAGAAATTAATAGCAATAGTGAACGATGTCGAATAAACTTGTCATCCATTTTGAAAACAACATTAGCAGCAGCAGCAACCGGCAGGTTACCCGTGATTCGCGGGTCAGACCCGCATAAAATCTTAGAAACCCGCCTTGGGTTAATACCGAAAATTGGCAAATCTCAAATAATAGAAATATACCTAAATGAGTTAGTAAATAGATCAAATAGAATCAAGCAGTATACAAACTGTTTGCTCTCTTTTCATTTCAAACTCTGTTTTTTGAAAATTTTAAAAGAGGTGATCAAAAATAGTGGTCAAAAAAGGTGGTGGAGCTTCAACCCCCCCCCCTGGCCCCCCATTGGCACCATGGCTTAACAAAAGCACTTCTTGGAGAGTTCTTCAGTATTCTCGAAAGCCCTTTCATCAGGTCACCCAAGCCTCATTCTAGCGGGTCATCTTCTGTTTGACCTTCATTCCTTTTAAATTCCACGCACCCCATTCACAGGGCCCTTTATGTTTACTTTATCTCCAAATCTCTAGTTCATAACTTTACGTTTTATATAGATGAGAGATTATTTTACCAAAGAATTAATTCCTTAAGAATATTTTCCTGGGTTTTACAAAGTGCCCACCGGGAAATCTCCCGGTGTCCCGCCAGGCCAAAACGCCCCTCTTCCCAGACCCCTAACTTGAAAGTAAAGGTCTGCAGCACAGGCTAACCCGCTAATGACATCTTAAAAGTTGGGAGCTATACGTAATGAGGTGTTCGATAAAAATTGACACCCACTAATGTGCATCGAGAAATTCAGTCAAACGACAAGAACAGTTTTATCCACATAGTGCGATCGTTGAGGTGATGAACCAGGAAAAAATTAGTAGAAAAGCAAAATGTACATTCTTTTACGTAGAATTTTACACTCTACAACAGACCCAAATCGCCTAAAATCCAATCTGGGGAAAAATTTTTATGTAAATTTCAAAAACATGAGCTTTTTCACCATATGCAAATATTTGGCCAGCAAATGGACATTACCAACTGCCGAACGATTTTGTAAAAGGGGAATAGTTTATAACAATTCAAGGAGTAATATTCTTAATTTGGAAGCTAAACAGGTATTAGGGTGAACAATTGAGAAATAAAATTTAATATAGGTTGTACAGTAGCAAAATAAGGCTGGTTGCTAACCCGCCAAAATTATTGAATTATTTTTTATTATAGGTAAGAGTATTATAGGTAAATAACAATTCCATAGAAATATCAATTCTGTCTTTTAAGGACCTTTGGTGTTTGCAATTCTTTGCCTGGCATGAAACGTAAAAAGAATTGTCATGATATAAAGCTTCTGCTGCGCCCTTGAAGGCTAAAATGGCCTTTTTACGTTGATTTGTAGCGTGGTTGAACTTTTCATCTTTTCTAAAACCTTCTCGCGAACCTCCGACCTGGGGTTCTGTTTATACAAAATAGGTATGAATGCGGTGCTACAAATTCAGACAAAAAATTAGATACGTGGCAGTTAAAAGTGACTCTCTCCGACATATTCAAACTGTTGCCCATTAATTTACAATGCCTTCATTACGGTACCAGTTTATGAGCTTTCTAAAGGCTTAAGCATCAATAACATTTCTATAGTCAATTTTTTTAGCTACATCATTTTCAATACCTCAGCACAGCTAAGTCATTCAGTAAGCCATCATTCAGAGCATTTTTGAAGAAATTTTCACTACTGAAGAAAATTTGCGAAAAGGGCCCAAAGAGAAATAACCAAAAGAAACATAAATGTCCACGCTGCGGTGAGGCGTTCATTTTAAACCATAGAAAAGAGACAAGCACTGCTAGGGGAAAAATTAAGAAAAAACAGTGTAATGCCAAACTCAGCTAGTTTTCACTGGACGCTGTCACACAATCTTAAACCATTACGGGATCCAGCTACCATGGGTACCAAATCCACAAAAATTCGAGCAAATGGACCTACAATCAGCACAGAAATAGAAGACTGGGGCGAGAACCGGAGGAGCATCTAGGTGAGAAAAAGGGTTAGCCCAGGCCCACTTTTCATTCATCTCAGCAAGATGCTCTTCAACTTCCCACTCCTGTCTTCTATTTCTGTGCTGAAATCTATGTGGCTTTTGGCTTTGGTACCAATGGTAGGATCCAGTTTATTGTTTGAGTAGTGTGGCTAAATAAAAGGGGCACATGTCCTTATAGATGAAATATACTGTTTTATACGTGTGTATATATAATAAAAAAATATGTAAACAATATTTTGGTGGTACAAAATATGAAAATAGCTACTCAAGCTTTTTGTCTGACACTGTTCAGAGTATGAAATGTCAAGACATGGATCGAAAATTCTACGCTAGAAAATATATACCGTATTTCTTTGAAATAAGACATAAAAAAATAAGCCGCGGCTTACCTTATTGGTAAAGAATTCGTCGGCAAATAGTGACGAATTTTTCCCTTGCCGACGATTATTGTTAACCGACGATTAATTTTTACCGACGAGTTGTGAGATATGCCGTCTTCCCTTTTTTCAGGATCGGACAAAAGAGCGCAATACAATAGGCGATACAATATAAATCTAATTCATGAATTGCAAAAATATACATGAAAGTACAAAGGCAAGAAATATAGAAAATGTCATTTAAAAGTTCATTTAAAAAAAATATCACTGGAAATTGCCATGGCCCAAACTACTGGAAAAATTCTACAATTTGTCTCTCGCTACTGGGGAAGGCATTGGGCATACTGGGCAAGGCATTGGGCATACCGGAAAGGCATTGGACATACTGGGGAAGGCATTGGGCATACTGGGGAAGGCATTGGGCATACTGGGGAAGGCATTGGGCATACTGGGGAAGGCATTGGGCATACTGGGGAAGGCATTGGGCATACCGGAAAGGCATTGGGCATACTGGGGAAGGCATTGGGCATACTGGGGAAGGCATTGGGCATACTGGGGAAGGCATTGGGCATACTGTAAGAAGGCATTTGGGCATACTGGAGCCTGCTCACTGGGGAAAAGGATGGATACTGGGAACATGGGAATACTGAGCATTGGGCATACTGGGGACAGCATTTGTCATACAAGGGGAGGCATTGGGCATTACTGGGGAAGGCAATTGGCATACTGGAGGAAGGCATGGAAATACCGGACAAAGCATTGGCATACTGGAGCATTGGGCATACTGCGAAGGATTGGACTGGAAGCATGGCCTCTTGGGAGGCCTGGCCAACTGGGGAACGCATTGGGCACTGGGAAGCATTGGGCATAGACTGGGGAAAGGCCTTGGGCATTACTTGAAGGCTTGGGCTACTGGGAGCATGTGGCATACTGGGGAAGGCCTTGCACTTACTGGGGAGGCTTGGGCAATCTGGGGAATGCATGGATACTGGGGAGGAATGGATACTGGGGAGATGGCATACTGGGAAGGTTGGGCATCATGGGAAGGATTGGCATTATGGGAGGAATTGCTGGCTACTGGGAAGAGCATTGACATAACTGGAAAGGCTTGGGCATAACTGGGAAGGCATTGGGCATTACTGGGAAAGCATTGGTAAGAAGGCAGTTGGGCATATGAAGGCGGCACTACTGGGGAAGCACTTGGGAACATACTGGAGGAGGCATTGGCAACGGGGAAGGCATTGGGCATACTGGGGAAGGCATTGGGCATACTGGGGAAGGCATTGGGCATACTGGGGAAGGCATTGGGCATACTGGGGAAGGCATTGGGCATACTGGGGAAGGCATTGGGCATACTGGGGAAGGCATTGGGCATACTGGGGAAGGCATTGGGCATACTGGGGAATTTTCTCCAGTACTTCAACTGTTGAAAAAGGCTCTGCCATCATTTCTGGTCATGTTGATGGACCCACTCTGCTAGCTTGAGTTCAAGACCGTCGAAAAGACGCTTTAAACATTAAAGACAGGGAATTTCGCAGCAAAATTTTGACTTTCGAATTTTTCGAATCTAATGATTTCATCGGATAGAACTTGCAAAGCTGAGCAAAAGACAAAAAGAACAATGTGATCTGACATATAAGTAAGAATTTATTGCTGTTGAATCTTTCCGTTTTATCAAACAACTTGCTTTCAAAAGATGCAACAAAAGCTTGAAAAATTCCAGAAAAGCAATTTTTAGACTATTGTCCTTGCATATAATCGGTACTCGATTCTTTATGTTTCCAGATTGCTGAAAAATGCACTCATTGAAGCAATTTTTACCGCCTTACAGTATAACCTAGCTCTTACAACTATAGAATTGATCTATTTGATGGTTTTAATAAACTTCAAATGAAATTTTATCAGAGTTAATTTTATCAGAGCTAAGGGTTCTTATTTTAGCTTATTTGTATTGTTCTCGTTTGGTTATTAATTTTCATGCTTCAGTTTGGTATTTACGTCCTTATGTGCTACTTTGATGCCATTGGAAATAATAGAGAAGAAGGAATTCTGAAGTTTTGGCTTCTGCACGAAAGTGTGGGTCCCTTGACTCAGATATTTTATTGTTTTGGGTCGGGATTATCCTAGGTGCCAGAGCCTCAGAGAGTCAAAGGATGAAGAACGGGGACTCTCTTTACTTAGGCTCTGGCACCCAGGGTAGGTCGGGATTATCGTACTTACTTCATGTGCTGTCACCACGCTGTTCTCTTTCTCCGTTCCTCCCTCCCCTTTTGATATCAAACGTAGTGTGTTTCTTCAAATCCTTTTTGATTCGATTGTATCTTGGTCAAAATGAGGAACGTTATTGCCCATCAAAGTTGCTCGAAGTTTTGTTGACTTTTTGACGTCGAAACATTCTGGCCAAACTGGGCATTGTTTTCGTGCAGCATCTGTTGCTGATGTTGTCAAAACAGCGCCCCCGAATTTGATCTAATATGTTGTTTTCCACGCCATATTTGATTCGAGCACAAATTTGGATAAGCGTGGCAGAAAGAGAGCAAGCTGCAGCTATTGGAAACTGATTTTGACATCACAACACCTTTGTTGCTTAGCACTCTCTGGTCGAGCACTTGGACTTATTTTAGTTGATATACCTTTTTATTCTTCCTCCCCAAGGTTTTCCTCCTATTCTGTTAATATTCAGAATTTCAAAAATTCAATTAGAAAGAATTTC